ACAAACACACGCACACAAACACATATATATTGCTTAAAATTGGCTAAATTTATAGTGGAAGAATGTTCAGTATCGGAGATTGAGCGCCTGTACATATAGGCAGTGTCAATATAGAAATCAAGAGTGCATAGTAATTGGCATTTTGTCGCCGCCCGCTATTTGTCACTCATCGTCTCGTGGGTATTTTTTTTTTAAATAGACCATTGCGGAATTAAATCAAGTCGGAAACGGACAAAAACCCTCCTTTTTCATTTTGGGGGAGGGGCTGAGGATTTAGTTTATTAATTATTATCATTACTTTGATTATATATTGTTTTATTATTGAAAACATATTATTTTTCATATTGTAGTTAATTTTTTTTATTTAAATATTTTATTCTGCTCTAAATTTTTTTTATTTAATAGAGCTTTTAGTTCCAGAATTTTATTGCTCTTGTAAGTAGCGTAGTAGGAATTTGCTTTCGCGTCTCCATTTGGAAATGAGATATGATGCCTGGTTTATTTTGTTTTGGAAAGGTCACTTTCGTTATTTTCTACTTTGGACTTCGTTTTGAGGTATCATTGCAAACTGGTACTTTATTTACAATGTTATTTTTGGTTCGTTTTGGTTTGCCTTTTTGAGTTTTTGGATATATTTTGAGAGAGTTGTGCTACTTGCATGATAAATGATACCTTTTTCTAATTTTTCTAATTCAATTCTTCATCTATATTGCTCTATTATTGATCTATTATTGTACATAATTGAGTTACAATAAAAATTGAGATATACTATAGTAATGTCCCCGTATCATAGATTCGATGGGGCGTGGGATAGCACAAGACCCTTGTTTTCAATTCATATTATAGTTTAACGTTCTCATATATTAATGGGTAAATAACTCCTAAGGTTCGGGGCTCACTTACACACGCAGACACACACACAAAATCGCGCACTCATTCGCATACATACACTCATAAACACTTGCACGCTCGCAAACGAATAGAGATAATTTATATCTCTTTAAAATCTGGATATTTCCGGCAAAACGAAGATAAGCCGAATTAAGTACATATGCGGGTAGGTTAATGGTTATAGGTGTGGGATTGGAGAGTTGAGTTCAAATTTTAGTGAGTTCATTTCGCACTAACATACATGATTAAGTCACTTTCCATTAATCAGCTATAGGTAAAATAACAGGGTAGACTGAGGTCTCCATCCTTGTATAGCAGCTAAGAGAATAAGTACTTTGATTTCAAATAGTGGGGAGGAAAACGGCAAATTATTCCAGTATCTTTTCGAAGAAGTCGTGGCAATTTGTTGATATTTAAAAGAAACAGAAGCTATCGAGAGCCGTGGTCGATTTTGTTCGGAAGAATGTTACATTAAACACAATAAGCGTAATTCTATATATTCTAGTTCAGTTTTCATGATTTAACGAGAAATACTCACTTTTGAAAAGTGATTATAAATAATTACCGATAATATTAATTATTTATTTCATGAATTTAAGAAAACGTCACAAAGTGGAATTCAATCTTGCACTGATATAACGGAAGAAGTCTTGACTTCGTATTAAAATATGAAATTGCTTGGGTGAATATTTCCAATTATTTATATATATATATATATATATATATATATATATATATATATATATATAAGTGAACATTGAAATCAACACTCAGAGGTGACTGCTGTTTCATCGTTAATGTTAAGATGGCAGCTACGAATTGTAGACGTCAGTGTCAAGCAAGGAATTCAATGAAATCGGAAAGGTTGCAATAGCGGACGGGCAACGTGACACAGAAATACGAAAAGGTATCGGAATAGCGAAAGATGCCTTCCAAAAGCTTAGCAAATTATTAAGAAACAGGAAAATTTTGGTAGAATCAAAGAAAATAGTTACACACACACACACACACACAGAAACAAATAAAAAATAAGAAAGTGAGCATTGAAGTCAACACTCATAGGTGACTGGATGTTTCATCGTCAGGACGATTGCGTCTAGTTTGAAATAGTCTATCGCCTCTGAGTGTTGACTTCAGTGTTCACTAATATATATATATATTACGACATTTTTATGTTTATACACTCTTTTTTATAGATACAAATATTTAAGTAAATGCTCTGTTTATAATAAACAGTATTAACAACATTCACCGGCCTGAATGTCCGAGGAAATTGTTATAGAAAATATGCATCCTCTGACAGGAATCGAACCTGTATCCTATACGGAACCATCATATAGCCTGACGTGCTTTTACCGATTTCACGACAGAAGACCGTTCGGTTAGCAAGGTCGATTTTACTGTTTATAAACTACAATCTTCCATGATTCTCTTACGTACATTCATATCTGCTCAATGCGTATCCAAATGTAAACAAATGACGTCACACATTATGAAATAGACAGTCTGACAATTATTTAAAGATATTTTTATGTTTTATACATTCTTTTTTTATAGATACAAATATTAAGTAAATGCTCTGTTTATAATAAACAGTGTTAACATTTACCGGCCTGAATGTCCGAGAAATTGTCATAGAAAATATGTTTACAAATATTTAATGTTGTCTATAAAAAAATGTATAAACATAAAATGTCTTAAAATAATTGTCGGACTTTGTCCATTTTCATATATATATATATATATATATATATATATATATATATATTTCTATATATCTATATATATATATATATATATAACATTGAGAATATTTACCCATTAGGGTGAATATCTCCAATTTATAGGCTCTATCTCTGATATTGAGCACTTTATCTCGTAAATATAGCACACCTTAAAACTATTTTTCTTCATATATATATATATATATATATATATGTGTGTGTGTGAAAAGTGTATATAAATATAAATAAATATATATATATGTATAATTATTTATATATTATATGCGCGGTACTTATTAGAAAGCGCTCAATATCAGAGATAGAGCTAACATATTTGGTTGGATTGATGTGAGTTTGTGACCCTGGGTTTCATGCTTTTTAGTGGTCGTTTGTCTGACGATCGCTAAAGCGTGAAAACAGGGTCACAAACTCACATCTATCCATCCAAATATATATATATATATATATATATATATATATATATATATATATATATATGCACATATATATATATATATATATTCAAACATATATTGTTATATATAACAGACGGCGAATGTCTAATATGTTTTGATCATGAGCCATTCTAAACTTCGTATATTTGCTTTAATTTCGGGAGATAATACAGAAAAAAAATTGTCCAACATTTGTATATATTTTTATTATTCTCTTCTTTCATCTAAGTTTTAGGCTCACATGAGCCATCTTTAGAGGTGATTATACGGACATTTAAACAAAGATATTCACCATCAAAGATGATATTACATTGCATCTAGACATATAGTTCTGTTGTTAATATTTCGTTTTCTCACGAGGTCCGACGTCATAGAATTGCGTCATGAATTTACGACCTGCGTTTGCTATTCCGCGACCGTTATCGTCGCATCTTTATTTTTTTCGCATCTTCTATATCAACATAAAAGAATATCATCTTTGATGGTGAATATCAATAACCAATGTACCAATATATATATATATATAGTGCAATTAGGCAGTAAATGTCCCTTCAAACATGTTTTATTAAACAGCATGGACATTTTTGTTGCGTCTACTGAGTTTAGCCATCTTTCTTTCCAAATTGTGAATGATCCTTCGCAAAAAATGGGAGTAGTTGATGAAGATATTTTAATACTGTAGATCAACAACTGGTGTTTTATATTAAGGCATATTTAATTATTACTGTGAGTCCTTGCGCCAATTTAAGTTAACTTAGTAAATATTTCAATGGTTTTAGTCGTGGAGATATCGAGTCTTCTCCCCAAAGAACATGATCAGATTCAGACCTCACCGTACTGAATTCGACGGACACACACACACACACACACACACACACACACACACACACACACACACACACACACACTCTCTCTCTCTCTCTCTCTCTCTCTCTCTCTCTCTCACACACACACACACATATTCATACACTGACTCGGGTTGGTATTCGAGGTGAGTAAAAAACAAAGATTTTCAAGGCAGGTAATTAGTTACTTCCCAACTTAAAAGAACCTCTCCATCAACTATTATTCCTTTGGTCATTGTGAGAAATCACTCAACTACCTTCCCCAAGAAATCATGGTAATTCACAGATAATAAAGAAAAGAAATTTGGGTAGGGCTTTAATCGCCTACGTCCTGAAGGGATGTGCTATTAAAAAAAAAAATAACAGAAATAGCTTAGAGAATGTCGCCATTTTGCTGTTGTATTTGCATCCTTATGTAAATCAAACATTTATATATAAATACCAATATACTAGAGGACCCATAAATTACTATTCATAAATATCCTTGGTAAACTTTGCCCTTCGTGCCCACAACCCCGCCCCTAAAAAATGGAGTGTCAAAAGGACAGTTTTTCCCCTGACACCGCTATTATTTTAACTACCTTCACTCCTCGG